ACTTCTTCTCAATAACCAAAAGGCCCAGGGTACTGATATTGGGCCTGTAGCATGCTGGGATGAAGGACTATCAAGTTTGTTCAACTGAATGACCTTGACCAACTTTCAAGGTCACAGGGGTCAAATGTCGTAAAATCTTCAAGCGACTTCTTTTCAATAAGCAAAAGGGCCAGGGTACTGAAATTGGGCCAGTAGCATGCTGGGATGAAGGATTACCATGTTAGTTCAAATGAATGACCTTGATCCACTTTCAACCTAATGTCCTTGTTCGACCTTCAAGGTCAGAGGCGTCATATGTTTAAATCTTTTAATAGGTTCTTATGAAATCTTAAGATTACAAGTGTTAGATTAATAACAGGTGAGCGATGCAGGCCCATTGGGCCTCTTGTTAATTTATCCTTTCTGAACTGAAAAAGCAAGACATTCTGTTTTCTGAAATGTGGTAAATGTATCAGATATTGATAAATGATAGTCTTTATACAATACCCTTATTTGGTTGTAATTGGACTATTTCATCTTACTCAATCTCCATAATGTTTGATCTTGTTAGAATAGTTCCCATAGATGTTTTTCCTTTAATGTATTTTTGTTGTTTTGAATTTCTGTGTACAAATGTCTCAAACATTATAAGGTGGATCTCATGCCGAAATAAGAACTCACGTTTTTCTTTTTTATTATTTCAAGTTAAAATTAAATGAAATCCATAATTTACAGAAACAATTGATTGAAAAATAATGTGAACAGGATTAAATATACTACTGCTCTGTTTTTGTTGAAAGTCTACAATATCTCACCTTTCAGGAATACATTTACTTAACGCAGGTTCATCGTGATCTGATTGGTTTACAGAATTAATACATTTTTAGGTCACCTGAGCTTTGCTCAAGTGACCTATTCTAATCGCTTTTCGTCCGTCGCGCGTCGTGCGTAAACGTTTACATTTTCAACTTCTTCTCAAGAACCAGTGGATGGTTTGTTTTCAATCTTGGTCAGAATCATCCTTGGTAGATGAGGCTTCAAAATTGTAAAATTGGGATTCCTACCCCAACCCCTGGGGCCAGGGCGGGGCCCCAAAGGGAACATTTACCAATATTTTCAAATTCTTATCCATTGATGACATGACTAGTATTGTATTTCACTAAGTTTACATGCTGATTTCCACATCACATCTAACAATAAAATAAAGCTATCAGTACCTATGATATAACTCAGGTGACCGCTAAGGCCCTTGGGCCTCTTGTTGTTGAATTCTTTTGAATATTTACATTGTATCTTGCTAAGTGTATGAATGATGAACATGAAATATCTTTGGGAGAGAGACATCATGGAATACTTAGTTCTATCTTCTATATGCTGGAAGTGAAATATGAAAGTGTTTTGGTGAGTGACAGGAACAGGTATGTGAATATTTGTATGAAATTTGTTAGCCTACTTGGTACAGAACATCAGGGTGGTATATTGTGGTGGAGCTTTGTGTCCTCTGTCATCAGTTCGCTTTTTCATGTATTTGCAATAAATTTCCGAGAGAAACATCATGGAATACTGTTATATCATTAAAACATTCCCTTATTATATTTGTATCCCCCTTGATATTAATTTTGATTCACAAATTTACACCGATTTTATCAGCTAGACAGAAAGTAACTGGGTTCTAGATAACCGAGGGTACCTATATACAGGTATCAAATTAACTCCTACACCTGGTCAGGTATTAGGACAACTGACCAGTCTTGCTGTTATAGGTGCATGGAGGTTGACCTATACAGTTAATATTAGTGAACTTTTCAGATTGTCTAACACTCACTTTGATACATGTAAGAATAAAAGTAATTTCCTTTATTGTTTAATCTCATTAATTTATTTTTGAATGTTAAATTTTTAGCTCACCTGGTCCAAAGGGCCAAATGAGCATATACCTCGGTGCGGCGTCCGTTCATCTGTTGTCTTGTCTGGTGTCAACATTTCACTTAAACAACTTTTCTGAATAACCAAGAGGCCTAGGGTTATGATATTTGGCCAGTGACATGCTGGGATGAAGGGCTACAAAGTTTGTTCAAAAGAATACCACTAGCCCATATTCAATGTCACAGGGTCAATTGTCGATGCCTAGGTGATGATATTTGGCCAGTGACATGCTGGGATGAAGGGCTACCAAATCATTCAAATAAATGCCCATCGCCCTTGTCCATAGGACAGTAGACCTGGAGGTCGGTGATCAAGCAATCTGTTGCATTGTAATTAAGAGACCTGATGGCTTATGGTCAGTCAACTTTGTGGCTTATCACAGGTCACATCATATGGAGGCTAATGGTCAAGTAATCTTGGCTTATGGCCAAACATACTGATGACAATTCTTGATACTCGGCTAGGTATATGATTGGTCTTTGGTGAAAAAACCTGACCAATCACTGGGATGACACCTGTCCGTTGAAGATTATAGAGAAGGGACACCCGACTTCAAGGTCAGTCAATTTTACCATTACACGACCGTTAGATTCTTTTGATGTACATTAAAGGATCAAACTAGTCTTCTTGTCTCATCCACAAGGTGTTGCACACTGAGCCTTCCATTTTACCATGACATATTTCAGGGGTGCCGAGAGCCTTCCATTTTACCATGACATATTTCAGGGGTGCCGAAAACATAAGCGAGTGTAACCCTTGGAGTATCAAGGATGACTGATACCTTTATTCAAGAAATTTGAGATTCAAAATTGTCTGTCAATTTCAAGGCTATGACTAAGTAATCTGTTGGTCAATGGGAATTTAAAGTCTTGTCTATGGTAGAGTGATCTGCCATCTTCTCTTTAATCAATCTGACCCCAGTTCAAAGTTTGGTCAACTTTAACCATTGGATTAGGGAAAATTCAAATTGTTGTCATTAAGAAGCTAGGACTTTCAAAGCGCTCTAAATCTTCCAAACACATCAATCTATTTCTCTCAACAAATCTATAGCAGTGAAATGATATCAGATGGTCGGAGTATTGCTGTATTCATAAGTTTAAATCTCTGACCAACCTTTAGGAAACTTGGGCATGGTGGTTCATTGTCCAGCGATCTGTTGGTTTGATGTTTAGTTATCTGTTGGTTTGATGTTTAGTGATCTGGTGGTTTGATGTTTAGTTATCTGTTGGTTTGATGTTCAGTGATCTGTTGGTTTGATGTTTAGTTATCTGGTGGTTCATTGTCCAGCGATCTGTTGGTTTGATGTTTAGTGATCTGTTGGTTTGATGTTTAGTGATCTGTTGGTTTGATGTTTAGTGATCTGTTGGTTTGATGTTTAGTGATCTGTTGGTTTGATGTTTAGTGATCTGTTGGTTTGATGTTTAGTGATCTGTTGGTTTGATGTTTAGTGATCTGTTGGTTTGATGTTTAGTGATCTGTTGGTTTGATGTTTAGTGATCTGTTGGTTTGATGTTTAGTGATCTGTTGGTTTGATGTTTAGTGATCTGTTGGTTTGATGTTTAGTGATCTGTTGGTTTGATGTTTAGTGATCTGTTGGTTTGATGTTTAGTGATCTGTTGGTTTGATGTTTAGTGATCTGTTGGTTTGATGTTTAGTTATCTGGTGGTTTGATGTTTAGTGATCTGTTGGTTTGATGTTTAGTGATCTGGTGGTTTGATGTCTAGTGATCTGTTGGTTTGATGTTTAGTTATCTGGTGGTTTGATGTTTAGTGATCTGTTGGTTTGATGTTTAGTGATCTGGTGGTTTGATGTCTAGTGATTTGGTGGTTTGATGTTCAGTTATCTGGTGGTTTGATGTTTAGTTATCTGGTAGTTTGATGTTTAGTTATCTGGTGGTTTGATGTTTAGTGATCTGTTGGTTTGATGTTTAGTGACCTGTTGGTTTGATGTTCAGTGATCTGTTGGTTTGATTTTTAGTGATCTGTTGGTTTGATGTTTAGTTATCTGGTGGTTCATTGTCCAGCGATCTGTTGGTTTGATGTTTAGTGATCTGTTGGTTTGATGTTTAGTGATCTGGTGGTTTGATGTTTAGTGATCTGTTGATTTGATGTTTAGTGATCTGGTGGTTTGATGTTTAGTGATCTGGTGGTTTGATGTTTAGTTATCTGGTGGTTTTATGTTTAGTTATCTGGTCGTTTGATGTTAAGTTATCTGGTGGTTTATAGTCAAGAATTCAGTGGCTTTTGTTTAATCATTCTGGTGGCCTACAGCCTAGTTTTCTGCTAATGATCCAGTGATCTGGTCACTTACAATCATTTGATCAGAAGGTGAATGGCTAAATTGTAATGGTGGGAATGGGGCTCAAACAAAACTTCATGTTCTAATCGCCTGTATAGATACTCTGAAAAGGCTTCTAGCCCCTAAGCAAAAGAAAACATCTACAATGATATCAGAAATAAGCATAATTTTAATAACAATATTTCTTCTGTATGGTTGTGATGACAACAACGATGATGAAGATGACATGATGATTCTTTCTTCCCCACATTACCTATAAAACATCAGTAAACAAGGCCATACTTCAGAAATTGTTTGTTTGTGGTTTCCCGGACTACCTAAAAATGGCGCCAACTCAACCTTTCGTTTGAAACTTTAAATAAAAAATAAAAATTAATGCTGAAAAATCAATGATATTTTGGGGTTTTAAATAGAAATATGACCACCCCCACCCACCCCTTCCCCCTACATCTACATCTACATATCCACTGAAAAACTTTGAGTAGGGAAACTGCATACAAATTATTCTTAATAAAGATGGCTCAAAAATGACTACACACTATGCAATAACAAATATTTGCATTCACGTACACAATAATTTAATACTGTATTCAATCTATGCTACTAGCATCAAAAGGTTACTGAAGTTTTCGTGTTAGTGAAAGAGGTTTAAACATACACACGTTCATGGTGTTCAACAGATTAAACTAATTGGAGCAGCATCCTAATGGACCTAGTTTCCAAATTTGATATCTAGATGAGCATTACAAAAACACTTTTGAGGCCTTCAATATATGATCTTTGCAGTTCAGCCTGGATTTATCTTCAAAATATCACAAAGCGGACAATGTCAAACTTGTCATCCTATATATGTGAGAAGGTATACGTAGATGGCCTAATTTCAATTTTACTCAAAACGCCAGACAGGATGAAGTTCTATTTTTGAGTGGTTCTATTATAATTGGTTCCATAAAAAAAACAAAAAAAAACAACATATAGATCCTGTGACATTGTTTGTGAATGAAAAAGCTTTTAAAAACCGTTCAGAATTATTCACATGATAGTAAGTTTTGGAAATATCTCTTGAAATATTTAACAAACAAACAAAAAAGAATATTTACAGTACATCAGAATGAGAATTGGCTACCTAGATGTCATCTGTCCGGGACAGCTACCTAGATGTCATCATCTGTCCGGGACAGCTACCGTAGATGTTATCTGTCCGGGACTGCTACCTAGATGTCATCATCTGTCCGGGACAGCTACCTAGATGTTGTCATCTGTCCGGGACAGCTACCTAGATGTCATCATCTGTCCGGGACTGCTACCTAGATGTCATCTGTCCGGAACAGCTACCTAGATGTCATCATCTGTCCAGGACTGCTACCTAGATGTCATCTGTCCGGGACAGCTACCTAGATGTCATCTGTCTGGGACAGCTACCTAGATGTCATCTGTCTGGGACAGCTATCTAGATGTCATCTGTCCGGGACATCTACCTAGATGTCATCATCTGTCCGGGACAGCTACCTAGATGTCATCATCTGTCCGGGACTGCTACCTAGATGTCATCTGTCCGGAACAGCTACCTAGATGTCATCATCTGTCCAGGACTGCTACCTAGATGTCATCTGTCCGGGACAGCTACCTAGATGTCATCATCTGTCCGGGACAGATACCTAGATGTCTTCTGTCCGGGACATCTACCTAGATGTCATCTGTCCGGGACTGCTACCTAGATGACATCATCTGTCCGGGACTTCTACCTAGATGTCATCTGTCCGGGACAGCTACCTAGATTTCATCTGTCCGGGACTGCTATCTAGATGTCATCTATCGGGACAGCTACCTAGATGTCATCTGTCCGAGACAGCTACCTAGATGTCATCTATTAACTCATCCAATTTTAAGTTAGTCAAATTATATTGTATTAACCAGACTTTGACATTTAAAAACCCTCTATTGTAAGAAATATGTAATCAATCAGGTTCATATTTTTTCCCATCAAATAGAAATGAATTTGTCACTATAACTGTATTACAGCTTTGTACCAAGAATTTTGCGAAGCCCTCAAAAAATGAATCCAAATTACCCGCTGTTCTAACAGGAACAAAGGAACATCACCATTGATCAAAGTGGACACACTGCCACTTTATCTACTAAAGACTCTAACACAAATCTCACTCTCACAACAAAATAAAACAAAACATAAAATGTTGCTCACACGTTGTAACAAAGGTAACTTTATAAATGCCTTCATTAGGACATGGTCTGGAACTATGGACTTCTAGTCCAGCGCTGTACTGACAGAGCTAAACACTGGCTGGTGGACCATGTGAAACTATAGACTACTAGTCCAGCGCTGTACTGACAGAGCTAAACACTGGCCGGTGAGCAATGTGACACTATAGACTACTAGTCCAGCTCTATACTGACAGAGCTAAACACTGGCTGGTGGGCCTTGTGACACTATAGACTACTAGTCCAGCGCTGTAGTTACAGAGCGGAACACTGGCTGGTGGGCCATGTGACACTATAGACTACTAGTCCAGCGCTATACTGACAGAGCTAACCACTGGCTGGTGGGCCATGTGACACTATAGACTTCTAGTCCAGCGCTGTACTGTCAGAGCTAAACACTGGCTGGGGGGCCATGTGACACCATAGACTACTAGTCCAGCGCTATACTGACAGAGCTAAACACTGGCTGGTGGGCCATGTGGCACTATAGACTACTAGTCCAGCGCTATACTGACATAGCTAAACACTGGCTGGTGAGCAATGTGACACAATAGTCTACTAGCTAGTCCAGCGCTATACTGACAGAGCTAAAAACTGGCTGGTGGGCCATGTGACACTATAGACTACTAGTCTAGCGCTGTACTGACAGAGCTAAACACTGGCTGGGGGGCCATGTGACACTATAGACTTCTAGTCCAGCGCTGTACTGTCAGAGCTAAACACTGGCTGGGGGGCCATGTGACACTATAGACTTCTAGTCCAGCGCTGTACTGTCAGAGCTAAACACTGGCTGGGGGGCCATGTGACACTATAGACTTCTAGTCCAGCGCTGTACTGTCAGAGCTAAACACTGGCTGGGGGGCCATGTGACACTATAGACTTCTAGTCCAGCGCTGTACTGTCAGAGCTAAACACTGGCTGGGGGGCCATGTGACACTATAGACTTCTAGTCCAGCGCTGTACTGTCAGAGCTAAACACTGGCTGGGGGGCCATGTGACACTATAGACTTCTAGTCCAGCGCTATACTGACATAGCTAAACACTGGCTGGTGGGCAATGTGACACTATAGTCTACTAGCTAGTCCAGCGCTATACTGACAGAGCTAAACACTGGCTGGGGGGCCATGTGACACTATAGACTTCTAGTCCAGCGCTATACTGACATAGCTAAACACTGGCTGGTGAGCAATGTGACACTATAAACTACTAGTCCAGCGCTATACTGACAGAGCTAACCACTGGCTGGTGGGCCATGTGACACTATAGACTACTAGTCTAGCGCTGTACTGACAGAGCTAAACACTGGCTGGTGGGCTATGTGACACTATAGACTACTAGTCCAGCGCTGTACTGTCACAGAGCTAAACACTGGCTGGTGGACCATGTGAAACTATAGACTACTAGTCCAGCGCTGTACTGACAGAGCTAAACACTGGCTGGTGGGCCATGTGACACAAGACTACTAGTCCAGCACCGTACTGTCACAGAGCTAAACACTGGCTGGGGGGCCATGTGACACTATAGACTACTAGTCCAGCGCTATACTGACATAGCTAAACACTGGCTGGTGAGCAATGTGACACTATAGTCTACTAGCTAGTCCAGCGCTATACTGACAGAGCTAAACACTGGCTGGTGGGCCATGTGACACTATAGACTACTAGTCCAGCGCTGTACTGACAGAGCTAAACACTGGCTGGTGGGCCATGTGACACCAGTATTCACATTTCTCTTCATACTGGTAAAAACAAATTTAAGAGCCAACCATACCCAATTTCTGTTCCATCTCACACAAGAAATTTACAATAAGTTCATTTTAAAAATAACTATAACTGTCAAATACTCTCTTTAATAAGCTTTATAGCGCATACCTTTCCATAGTCACAGGAATCACTGGAGTTGAGGGTTACAAGTGATTGCTATGACAGAAGAAGGGCAGAAACCTGAAAGCTTTTAAAACACAAGAGGCCCAGAGGGCCTGTATCGCTCACCTGGATACCCAAGCAATCATGGCAAATTATTCTCCAAATGAGATCAACAGACCCCAAGGTCAATCCTTGTAGCATATCTGTATTAAAAGTTTCATGCCCAGCAACTTTATGTATGGTTATGGGGTGGGGATCTCAACTGTTTCCAAGCTGTGAAACTAGGTCCCTAGGTTGTGGCCAGACCCCAGGATCAATTCTAATATCATGACTGCATTCGTCTCTTTTTGCCCACCATTTGTATATATAGTTTTGGGGTGGGGATCTCAACCGTTTCAAAGTTATGACCCAGGGGTTAAGTCTGCAAGGGTGGGGCAGACCCTGGGGTCAATTCTAATAATCATGACTGCATTCGTCTCTTTATGCCCAACAATTGTATATATAGTTTTGGGGTAGGGATCTTAACCATTTCAAAGTTATGACCCAGGGGTTAAGTCTCCAAGGGTGGGGCAGTCCCAAGGCCATCCTGGAAGCATATGTGCATTCATCTCTTTATACTCTGCAATTGTATATATGGTTATAGGGTGGGGCTCTCAACTGTTTCCAAGCTGTGACTAAGAAACTAGGTTCCTAGGGGTTCGGTCAGACCCAGGGGTTAAGTCTGCAAGGGTGGGGCAGACCCTGGGGTCAATTCTAATAATCATGACTGCATTCGTCTCTCCATGCCCAGTATTTGTATATATAGTTTTTGGGTGGGGATCTCAACCGTTTTAAAGTTATGATCCAAGGACTTTGTCTCCAAGGGTGAGGCCAGACCCTAGGGCCATCCTGGAAGCAAATGTGCATTCTTCTCTTTATACTCAACAACTGTATACATGGTTATATGGTGGGGATCTCAACCATTTCCAAGTAATAAACTTTTTTTGGCCCCACCCCTTAGCACAGGGGTCAGCTCCACCATTTGTACAATTTTGAATCCCTGCCTCCCATGAATGCTTCCGACCAAATATGATCGTTTAAAGAAAATGTTGACGGACGGACGCCACAGTATGGCATAAGCTCACCTTGGTCCTTCGGACCTGGTGAGCTAACAATGCATGCATTATTTTTCATTTGAAAACACTCTTGTTTTAAAAATAGTTAAGAGACTGTTGGACATTCTGATATAATGTTATCTTAAATAAGATTTGTCAACACATTGATTTTCACTGTAAAAGGAACACACAAACTTGTATGTACACCTGAACAGGGGGTTTCAATCCACACCTCAGCACTTTTCTTCACATCGGCCAACAGTTACTAACTTATATACAGTAGTCGAGTATATACACCAAATATTTTCAAATTTTGAATTAAATCATTTGAAATATGAAACGGAAAAAAATGCTTCAGCTATATCCTCTTTTACCTTGTATTTGTACGCTACCGGAGGAATGTGTAGGATATTAACAGGCCGTGGTATAACTACCAACAGACACTCTATTAGAGGCACTATTTTTATAAATAATTAGACTTTAGCTGAACTAAGATCAAACTGGTTTTCTTGCCTAGACTGATACATTTAAATTTTGTATCAGCGATGCATCTGATATTTAAACCTTGAATCAGCTCTCAGATCTAACTCAGATCTAACCTATCAAGTACATTTTTCTCTGTATGTTTATCTTAAGTATTAATGTAGAGTGGATCTTCAATTAGTGGACCGTCGCAAATGTTGACTCCAACATTTTGAATAATTCAGGAACAGCTAACAATGTTCCAAATTTGTCAGTCGGGAAAATTTTTATCCTGAGTATTTTTGAAAAAAAAAGGCCCCTGTGAACAGTCTGTAGTCATCGGTAGCTGTAAGAATTTCATACTACAGAGGCTCCACTGTACACTGTAGTCTATTGTTATCCAGACTGAAGTTCTACTGTACACAACGTCTATAGTGTAGGGTAGCTGTAAGTAGTTTGTATTTAGAAGATTCCCCTCTCCACTGGTCTGAAGTCTATTGTAGCTGTCAAACGACCGTACTACAGAGGTTCCACAGCACACTGTTGTCTATTGTAGCTGTCAGATGTCTGACTACAGAGGTTCCACAGCACACTGCAGTCTATTGTAGCTGTCAGACATCTGTACTACAGAGGTTCCACAGCACACTGTAGTCTATTGTAGCTGTCAGATGTCCGTACTACAGAGGTTCCACAGCACACTGTAGTCTATTGCAGCTGTCAGATGTCCATACTACAGAGGCTCCACTGTACACTGTTGTCTATTGTAGCTGTCAGATGTCCATACTACAGAGGTTCCACAGCACACTGCAGTCTATTGTAGCTGTCAGACATCTGTACTACAGAGGCTCCACTGTATACTGCAGTCTATTGTAGCTGTCAGATGTCTGTACTACAGAGGTTCCACAGCACACTGTAGTCTTTTGTAGCTGTCAGATGTCCGTACTACAGAGGCTCCACTGTACACTGTAGTCTATTGTAGCTGTCAGATGTCCGTACTACAGAGGCTCCACTGTACACTAGTCTATTGTAGCTGTCAGACGTCCGTACTACAGAGGCTCCACTGTACACTGTAGTCTAGTGTAGCTGTCAGACATCCGTACTACAGAGGCTCCACTGTACACTGTAGTCTATTGTAGCTGTCAGTGAGCAGGCTGTTTGACCGGAGAGATGGCCAGCATTAACTTGGACACACTCGTCTGTACAACTTGTTGTAGAGATTCATCCTCACATTTCACATCCTAAAAAATATGGAGAACATATCTTTATTCATCTGGTTACTGTTTTATGATTTATTTTGTGCTGATAGGCCATAAGCAATTCACATCTTGTATAATTGCACAGCTGATTTTCCCATCAGAGAACATGGACTGGTCAGCAAGGGCCCATGCCTTGTACAAGGAAAGCGTTGTAGGTTTTGATCTTTCTATTTAGACATCACATTGACACACTAGTTATGACAGTAGATGAATCATGTGAACACACTATTTTTGACTATGTTAGATGAAGCCTAACGACAGACTAGTATTGACTATGTCATATGAACAATGTCGAAACTAGTTTCCTCACACAGAATAAGATGTGTTTTAAATACATTTTGCCTTCAGTGTGTAATTGAACAGTTACTTTGTATTCGTACCAATTTATCGTAATTAAACAGTGAAGTTAGTATTCGTACCAATTTATCGTAATTAAACAGTGAAGTTAGTATTCGTACCAATTTATCGTAATTAAAGAGTGAAGTAAGTATTCGTACCAATGTGTCTATGTTGATGATGGCGGTATTATCGTCTATCGTGATTGTCATCTTGTCTCCCTTTATGAACTTTCCAACACTCTCTGTTCCAAACATGTCTGTGAACATCTCGATCAGACATTCTGTGATGTGGCCACGGTCCACTTTCAGTGCTGGTGGTACATCTGTAAAGTATCAAATGGACTGAAAATGTTGGATACAGAACACGGTGTTCCTATTTCTTTGAAGCTGTCAGAAAATGATGAAATTCTCTATAACATGCAATCTGTAACTGAAATCTTACACTTGATTGACCTTGGAACTAGAGGTGAAGGCCATTGTGACCTAACTACACGCTGATATACATGTACTTTAAGTTTCCACAATATAAACAGTTAAACCGTTTAAACAATTTATGTTTTCATGGCCTGGAAAAGATGTTATAGGAACAAGAACCAGAACCAGAAGAACTGGTACTAATCAAATATCTCCCGTTCATTAAAAGGGAAAAAGTTGTATTGCAGGGGTAGGAGAGAATTCCTCAGAAGCCACATATCACATCATACAAAAGCAATTTACTGGTATAAGGAAACATGATACTATATGAACTGCCCAAACATTTCTAATTAAATTGCCTTCCTCACCCTACCCCTGTACAACTAATTCTGGAATAGCCTTTAGATTTTCAACATTTGTCAGTCCCAACAAATAAAATAACATTTTACAACTGAATGTTTACATATGTTGTGAAGTTTACAACTGAATGTTTACATATGTTGTGAGGTTTACAACAAAATGTTCACATATGTTGTTAAGTTTACAACTAAATGTTTACATATGTTGTGAAGTTTACAACTGAATATTTACATATGTTGTGAAGTTTACAACTGGATGTTTACATATGTTGTGAGGTTTACAACTGAATGTTTACATATGTTGTGAAGTTTACAA